TTACCTTCATAAAGAATATTATTCCCACTATCAATTTTTCCTGTGATACCTCTTGAATCTGATACAATACCTTCTGTCTTTTAATATATATAATAAGCATATCTTCTTTCTCAGTCATCAGTGAATACTACCTGATTAATTTTTTTCTTCTTAAAATTCTATTTTGGTTTTCCTTTGGCTTTTTCAGTCTCTCTTTGTTTGCCTTTCTGCTTACTATGGGCTTAAAGTTTCAGGTCGTGGATCTTTATTCCCAGTTTATTTTCCTTTCTTTGAAAATATAATTTACCTTCACAGCTGTAGCTATAATCATTATGTAAATTAATTTACAATTATATTTTTGATCCTAGTTTCTCAACTGTGCTGCAAAAACTGACCCTCAATTTCAAGTAAAATAAAGTAAATCTTCACTTACATATATGACTTGAAAATTGATTTTGGCATTTAATGATATTGGCCAAATTGTACTATTAAATCATGAAAATTGAGAAAAAAAGAATTCATTTGACCTAGAATATTGTGAAGTGGGGTGAACATAGATTTTGGGTTTTAAATACCTGGATTTCAGTCCCAGTTCTACTGCTTGCTAGTGTGACTTTTTGCTAAATAAGCCTTAGTTATTTATCTGAAAAACAGAAATCTATTACATGTCCTATTTACCTTATTGGGTTGTTGTGATGATCAAATGGAATAATGAATATAAAAACATTTTACTGTAACAGGAATTGTTCATAGCTGGGGAAATATTACTTGCCTATTATTAGCATTTTTGCTAAACCTAAGATAAAATATTGGATACCTTTGGTTTCTCTTTCATTCCTCAGTTACTCCATATTCAGTTAATTATTAAACACTGAAAGCACAATCTAGACTTAGAACTGAAAATATTCTTGTCACACACTAGCGTAATGTTTCTTTAAGTGTGATTAGGTTTACAACATACAGTCAAAATCGACTAAGTGTGCTAGTATGTTAAAAATGAAATTAATTAACTCCACCCAAGACATACAATCTTTAATTTTTAGGACTGAAACCTAGGAATTTTTATTTTACCTCTTTGATTTAAGCCCCCTCCCCCCCGCACTGTGTGTGTGTGTGTGTATGTGTGTGTGTGTGTGTGTACATTGTTAGTTCCTTGATGCTTTCTAGAAGATACTCGTATTTCATTTAACTATTGTAGTTACCTTTATCAGGAGGGTTGTTACATAATTATTTAGCCTGACATTAATATAGGTGGAAATTTCTTATGTAGTATTTCTTTCTTTTTTTTTTTTTTTGGTACCAAGAACTGAACTTGGGGGTGCTTAACCAGTGAGCCACATCCCTAGCCCCAGTAGTATTTCTAATTATTTCTTTTTTATGAGTTCTTGTTCCTTCGTATTACTAATATTTTTTGTCCTTTTGGGCTTCTTTTTTGTATATCAATTATTAATTTATATGTTTCATTAATTCTGTTTCTTAAAGTTTTTGCTTTTGAGTTTGTGATTATAATATTCAAGTATCTAGGTATTTTTATTTGTTAACTTGTGCTCAGACCTAGGGTTTTGCCTATTTTAAGAAGGATTAACCCTTTAAAATAGTAACTTAAGAGGCTTGAGAGTCATTAAATTGGAATGTAGATCTTACTTTTATGAAGGAAATGATGGAGGAAGGGAGAGTCTTGGCCCCCATTAAATACTAAGTACATTTGCCAAAGCTGGTGGAGAATCTTCAAGCTAAAGGTCCATCAGGGAAATTTCTTATCTCATAGATCTTCCTTACTCTTTCTGCCATGCTCAGTCATTGAGAAGATCTCACAAAAACATGAGCTTGGTGTGGATTCCATGGTGATGAATTCAGAACACAGCAACCATCAGTCAGTGACACTTCTTGCAACAGAAGATCTGTATTAGGATTCTCTAGAGGAACAGAATCAACAGGAAGTGTGATTATAAAAAAGGGATTTATAGGTTGGCTTACACAACCAGAAGCTGGATAGTTCACAGTGGCTATCTGCAAGCTGGAAAATTAGAAGAACCAATAGCTGTGTAGTTCAAAAGGCTGAAGCTCCAGTACAAGAGGGATCAACAGTGCTACCCTAGTCTGAGACCACAGGCTTCTGGAAACTCCCTGGAGAAACACTGGCAGAGTCCACTTTGGAAGAGTGAAGAAGCAAGAGTCTGATATCCTCAGATGATGGCTGCAGCAATCAAGAACCCATTCAAGAAGAATGGAGCTTGCATCTACTGCTGCTTCCTTGTTCTTCCAAATTTATTCTATCCAAGCTGCCATCCTATTGGATGGTGCTGTCCATGCTTAGGGAGAGTCTCCACTTCAGTTGGCTATCCCACGTGCCAATCCTAAACACACCCTCATTGACACACCCAGAAGCCTTCTAATCATCAGCATCTCTTAATCCAATCAAGTTGACAATTCAGATTAACCATTGCAAGGTCTGAGAGTTACAATCTCAGACCTCCATGTCCTCCCTGAAAACTCTATGGTCTTTAAATTGAACCAATCTGAATTTGTTACTGTGAAACTGACTATTCAATACTGTGAGAGCTTTTGTTAGCTATCCTGATAGCAAATTGCCTATATTTCCTGTTTACTTTCAGATCTTTCTCATTTCTTTCCATTCCTTCAACTTTGACTCCTTTTCTTCATGGTTTTCATTCAAGGTTATTTTTTCTGTCTTACCTAAGAGCTTCATCC